ATAGTGTGTGGTTCACTCCCAGCTTAGAGCATCCTCATTTTGGACGACAACACCCTACACACCCCCAATGTTTGCTAATTATATTGTTCTTTTTACTCCACCAAGGTTTTAAATTGTTACAATCTGTTCTGTAACCAGACTTTGCATAATTATCTAACATTTGCTGTAAATCCACTTTCATAGGTTCCTGCTGACCACACACACATTCACTGTTATTTTTCACTGTGGAGTTCCTTACTTGGGTATTTCTTTGAGGTGAGTGCATTTCACCTTCAAGGTTGTTTTTCCTTCAAAAAGGGCATCTGTGCTGGTGCCACATGTCCTGTGTTGCTCCACACTTGCGACATCTCCCCTGTCTGTGGACGTGGGTGACAGCTTGGCTGGGTATAACAGTCCTGTGTCTGTGGACCTGGATGATATCTTGGCTGGGTACAATACTCCTCATCTCACTGTCTTCATCCTCAGGGTTTGGTCTGCCTGGACCCTCGTGTTTAGTGCCCCCCAGGAAACCCAAAGCCAGATGGCTCTGCCCCTCCCGGGTGACCCGTTTTCCCATCTTATATCCTTAAGAGCTCTTTCTTTGCCTTTCAATCTCAGTAGATGTAGGAGGGTCAATATCTGGGTGGTGTTTTCCTGGAACTCAGTACACAGTTCTTTGTCTGCTACATCATTATGTTTCTAAATGTTTTCTAAATTGATTTTAAATACTTAAAGCCTGTTGGAGCCTCTGCCCTGGGGTGCAAGGACCCTTGAGATAGAGTCCTCCACCCTCTCTCAAGTCCCAGGTTCTATGTCTGCTTCTGCTGTGCAGAGTCATCTGCTGAGGTCCTTAATTTGATTAAGGTTCTTGCTAGTCTTGACTCACTTAGTAGTAATTGGAGGGCGCCTGGCTCTCCAAAGGCCTCCGGGTCCTGCAGTCTCCCTTCCTTCCCCAGTCTGCGGAGATGACAGACTCCTCTGTCTCTCCTTTTTACTGAAACTCGCCCTCATAAGCCGACCTGGGCCGGAAGCCTGGAGGAGACTTTCCCTCTGCCCTGGTCGTAGGCTTTACCGATGACCAGGTTCTCTGTCCTTGAAGTCCACTTAGTCCTTTCCTCTCCTTTTTCTCTCCTTCCTTCCTTCACCCACTCTTCCTGTTCCTCCTTCCTTCTCTCTTTTTTTAAAACGTATCTGTTTTAAGTGTGGTAAATACACGTGGCATAAAATATACCATGCGAACCGATTCCGAGAGGACATTCTGTGTGTGAAGCCTGTCCGCACGGTGCCGCGGCCGCCTCCACCATCCATCCCCAGGACTCTCCCAATTTCCAAGTCACCAAAACTCTGTCCCATAGACACTGACTCCGCAGCCCCGGCACCCTCCATTCCACTTCCTGTCTCTGGCCTGGTGACTCGGAGTCGTCACACAGGTGGAACCCCGCAGCACTGTCCTGTGCCAGGCCCCTTTCTCAGCGCCCTGTCCTCAAGGCTCACCCACATCGCGCAACTGTCGGACGCTCCTTCCTGCTTAAGGCCAAGGGATCCCCATGTGGCTGGGCCACACATGCCCATGGTCATCCCCCATGGTCAAGTGGGTTCTTCCACCTCCCAGCCCCTGTGTCCTCTTCCTGTTCCCTTTCCTGTGCCCCAGCCTGCGTGTGACCCCACCACCTTCCCACAGCTCCAGAGCATGGGCAAGGGCTGTGTGTCTGAGTGTCCATCTGCCCCGTTTCCTAGGATCTTGTGAAATGTCCTTGCCCATGGACCACGCCACGCAGCTGGAGATGTCCTAGGGCTCCATGCTCTTTCCCCAGAGGGCAGCCTGAGGGTGTCACCTTGTTCTGGGGGTTGGCCTCGACAGCTCCCCAGCGAGACGACAGGGAAGGCCAGAACAGCCTCTGGCTGCCTCTCCCCAGGGCTGTGGGGAGAATTCTCAGGATGCTGTGGCTGTCTCAGGTTGACCTTGAGGACAGGATCCAGGAAGGGGGGGGTCACTGCCCACACTTCCCAACATGGCTCCCAACAGTATTTGGGGACATCTGTGACACTGGTTTGTCCTTGCCTTTATGGCTTCTGAGTCTTGATCACTGCTTTCACTGTCTGTTTATCAGCTTGGGTTTGGGAGGCTCCTGAGGCAGCGGTCACCCCTGCCCCACTGTAGATACCACACCTGCCCACACACCTGCCTCCCACCTGAARACGTGCCACACAGGGACCCGGCCTCCTCACCTCCTCTGGACCACAAGGCAGCCCATCTGTCCCAGAGCTTCAGCTCCCATACTGAGCAGGTAACCAGACAGTTTCTCTGCAGCCTGGCAGCCCCAGGATAGGCCTCTGGCAGGCACCCTGTGAGGGTCCAGCATGGACGTCCTGATCCACCTCTGTGCTGCTCCTGTCCTCCCCATCCCAGGTGCCCCTCCTTCCTCTCCCTACCTGAGCTCGACCCTCCCCACCCAGTCTTGTGGGAAGAAGGGCAGTGTCACTTCCAGAGGCTGTGTCCTCGTGCGGGGAGCTCACAGCACCTGTCTGTCTTTAACACTCATAAAGGGGCTATTGTCATCTGTTCTGGGGCTTCCAGGACATATGCCCCATCTCCACTCCCATGCTCTGCAGACATTCTGAGGGCTCAAGATTGTCCACGCTCCAAGGACCCAGAGCCTGGGAGCCCAGTGCCTGCCCTCCCACCTCACTTGCTCCAGGCTGTGCGTCTTGCCTGTGGGTCAGTCACTCCACTGTACCCAGAGGCCAAGGAGCCAGGAATCAGCACTGGATGTGTAAGGGACTGTCTGCCCTCTCCACACAGGAAACAGCCACTGGACCCTGCCGAGAGGGGACTGTCATTCCCAAAATAAACCCACTTTACCCACCCACATGGTGCAGGAACAAGTTGAGAGGTCCCCCTGCCACCTGGGAAACAGGCTCCTCCACGCCTGTCACTAGTTGACACCACAAAATATTGGTGTCCTCCTCCCAACTGTCACCTCTCTCTAGCCCTGGGATTCGGATGCCAACAGCATAGGCAGACCCCTGCACTCAGAAAAGAAGAGTGGAAAGGACAGCTCTCTGTGTGGGCAGAACAGGCTGGCCTTGGGGACAGGCTGCCACACATCTCCACTGCCATGCATCTCCACTGCCACGCTCTGCAGACATGGCTTGCGTGAGCCTCCCAGATGCCATTGCTCAGGGATGCAGGGTGAAAACAACACCCCAAAGCCCTGAGCCCTCTCTTGCGCCCTCCCCTGGCTCCTGGGGTGCCTTGTGTGAGCACCCCTGATGTCTGCAGGCACTTTCTCTCACTGCAGTGCTGTGTGCATGGCCCCGGGCTGTGCAGGCGCCGTGGCCTGCATGATCTGTTTGTGCACATCAGTGGTCTCATTCAACAGCATGCCCTGGGGAGACCTCCGGCCTCCTTCCTCATAGCTGCTTGGCTCCTCAGAAAGGGGCTCCTCAGAAAGGGGCACCTCCGTTTGTGAGTGCCTCCCAGAGCGGTGGGGAGCTCCTCCTGCTTGTTCCCCTCAGGCTGATGGAGCCCAGGTTGGAGCCTTTGCCGGGAAACCAAGCAGTGGTTTCCATGTGATCTGGGCCTGGGCAGGTGTTGGAGAGCCAGGATGCGGGTCCCCTGCGGTAGTAGCCCGTGCCTCAGCTTCCCTACAGTGGCCCAGCCCACCTGACCTCGATGGCATTGTTAAGAAACAGGCTGCTCCCTGCCAGGCCGAGGCTGGCACTTCGCCCACCCTTCCTCTCTGGGTGCTCCTCCCTTGTGACGTGAGCCCTGGGGTTCTTGTGTTTTTACAGAGTATGTGCATGGAGACCCATGAAATCGGGGACAGATGGTCAGCCAAGGGGATTCGGGGTGAGGGGCTGGTGCAGGCCATTTCATGAGGGCTCCTGGTGAGTGTGGGTGGGCCAGGCCACCCCTCTCAGGTTGGTACTACCTGAAGAACTGAAGCCCACTTCTCTACCATAAATCTCCTGTTTGCTCCCTGATTGCTGGCACTCACAGTCGGGCCCAGCAAGCAGGAGCTCCTGGCCTGGGTTGTGGGCTGCTCAGGAGGGTCCGGGAGCCCAGGAGAGCCCCTCCACCTGGGTCAGGCAGGTGTGACTCTGAGAGCTCCCATGCCAAGCTGGACTTGGGGCAAACCGGACCTCCCAGCACCAATACCTACAGAGTTACCTGCCTGGGCAAGTCATCTGGAGCCTCGTCTGTGAGACGGAGGAGCTAGAAAAGCCACACAGCATGGCCACACAGAGCCGCTCTGATCAGCTGGTCCAGACCTTTGCTGCGCTCCTTCCTGCTCCTGGGGAAGTCACTTCCTCCTTCAGTCTTTCCACATCAAAAAATGGATAAGAATCTATGTCCCTGGCAGGTCGTCCTTGTGTTTGGTGAGGTGGGCCTCACACGCCCCAGAAGGGCGTCAAGAGCTCCATGTGGGTAGCTGCCTCATGCCCCATGGATCCCATGCCCTGCGTGGGGGCCAACAGCTGAGTACCCGAGATGTGCCCTGACAGCTCTGGAGGTGGAAAGAAGGGGAAGGAGGACGCTGAGTGCCCACGGGAGACACCAGCAGTTTCCCACCTGATGAGGGAGCTGGAGCCACCTCACCTGGGCAGGCCAGGAGCTGAAGGATGGGTACAGCTCTGGGCTGGCCGATCTGGGYATTAGACTGAGGTTTCAGGACCTCTGGAGGGCCGAGATGTGGACACAGGACCAACCAGGATGCCTAGCTCCCCTCTTCAGTACTCCTGTTCCCCAGGTACCTGGCCAAGGGCCCAGGTCTCAGCTGCACGGTTCCTCCTTCCCAGCACGGACAGTCACCACCACCACTTCTGGGGAAGGCTGAGCCCCGGGATTGGGTCTTCCTTGGGGGCGTGCTGGTGGGGACAGAGCCTGGGAGCCCTCCCCGCCCTGCCCCCCCCGCCGGACCGTTCCACTCTGGCGCGCGGGGAGGCGGGTGCGGAGCGCGATGGTTGCGCCCGGCGCCGCCCCCGCCGCCGCCTCCCGCGCAGAGCGCTCCCGCAGGATGGCGCGGGCCAAGCTGCCGCGCTCGCCGTCCGAGGGCAAGGCGGGCCCGGGGGGCGCCCCGGCCGGCGCCGCGGCCCCTGAGGAGCCGCACGGGCTCAGCCCGCTGCTGCCGGCCCGCGGCGGGGGCTCCGTGGGCAGCGACGTGGGCCAGAGGTAGGGGCGGGCGCGGGCCTGGGTCCCCGCTGCGCGCCGCCGGGAGGGGCTTTGCATCTCGCTCGCATCGCAGGGGCCAGCCCGCTGCACCTGCCGCGCTGTCCGCAGCCCTGGGAGGGGACGGCCGGGGGCTGCCCTTGGAAGCTCCACCCAGGTGCCCCCCCTCCTGACCCCAGACACCCCGCTTAGAGGCTGAGTACACTGGGCCTACGGGTAAGGCAGGGGTGGACTTGGACTTAGGCTCTGTGCCAGGTGACAGGCGGTCCCTGCCCTGTCCCACCTGAGGTTGGTCCCCGGTTTGGAGGTGAGCAGGACAGTCCAGGCAGGTCTGTAGTTCTCTGAAGGCTGAGATGCAGCTGGGGCTCAGGCCCCTTCCCGCAGCCCCCTGGGAGCATCCCCAGGGCCAGCTACTGGCCTGGTTCCTGGGGCAGCCAGGGTGGTGGAGGCCCTCCCTGGGGCATTGCCAGTTCCTCCCCATCCCTTCTGCAAGCTAGGGTAGGACATGGCACCCCATTTCATGGATGAGGACACTGAGGTGTCATCTGCAGCAATGATTCTTGGCCAGCACCTTGCCTGTGCCAAGAGCCATGCCTGGTGCTGCGGGGGATGAAGATGAATCAGACCTGGCCTGCTGTGGGCACACATCGTGGGCACAGAGCCTGCGCTGGGCAGAGGGGTGCAGGCCAGGCCGTGGCTGCAGAGTGGGCTTCCTGGGGTGCTGGTCCTTCTGGGAGGAGCAGGAGGAGTTGGCGGGGTCTTCCAGGCAGAGGGAAAGTGAGGACCCCAGTCTGGGAGTGCATATCATGGCTGGCGGGGGCTTGGCAGAGGCTGGGCCTGACAGATGGCTAGGCCAAGGGGCCCTGGCCACAGGCTGTCTGGCCCGCCCGCCCACACACCCATTGCCTGCTTCTCGGCAGCCCCTCAGTATTCCCATTTGCCAGAAGAAACTGTTGAGGTTAAGTGTGCAGCCGAGGCTCTTGGGCTGCTAATGGGCAGCTCTTGGGCGGAAGGGTGTGAGTGCCGGCCAAGGCCCCAGGGGCCGGTTCCTCTGCCTCCTCTTCCTGGATGCTGTGGGGGCCAGTGATCTCAGGAGTTCTACTCACAGCCAGCCTGGCCCCAGCCAGGGGTGGACCGCAGGGATGGCAGGTTCTGCCCAGGCTGCCTCTGAGCCCACCGCACAGCATGGAAGCTGGGGCCGCAGGCCACCTCCCCCAGGAAGACCTCCCTCTTTCCCCCTCCTGTACTTGGCCTCCCACGAACCAGTGGACCATAAATGCTGGCCCTTTTACACTGGCCTCTCTATCCCCCAGAAGACCTCAAGGAGAGGTCCTTGTCAGGCTCTTTCTGCAGGGCAGGAGAAGGGAGGGGTCACACCTCTGGGACAGGCCAGCACCCCACTGGCAGCTCTGCAGCCTCCTTCCCTGAGTGCTGGTCACAGGCTGCTTGCCTGCTCTGGAGATGGGCAGTAGGGAGCCAAGGAAGGCTCCTGAGCAGAGGAGGACATGGCAGATTTGTGCTTTAGGAAGTTTTGTGTAGATTTCAGGCGAGCCCAGAACAGGGAGGAGGGTGCCTGCCAGAGTGAGCTGTCGGCTGTAGCTCTTGCGGCTGCCCCATCCTGCGTGCCTGGGCCATCTCCAGGGCCATGGAGCCTCAGTCCTCCCCACTGCCTGGAAGGCAGTGGGCAGAAGGAGGTCTCCACTGTCTCCAGGGACTTGGCCACAGTGGTCAGAGGTGTCTGCCCCCACGTCCAAGGTGCCCCTGATGCACTGCCTTCTCGTAGATGGCTGTCCCTGGAACTCGGTCTGATGCTTCCTCTTCCCGAAATGGGAGGGGTGGGGGGTTAGAAGGAGCTGCCCGGGTTTTTGGGGTGAGAGGCCTCTCCCTCCTTCTAGCACTTTCCCAGGGCCCCAATGAAGGAGGGCTCCTTCTATCCCCCACCCCACTCCCTGGACCCAGGTGCGGTCTCCCAGCCCCACTCCTGTCCTGAGGCCCCTATGGAGTCCCACCTGTCCCCACCCCCGGACTCCCTCAGCCCCTCTGAGTCCTCAGGACCAAGGCAGCAGGGTTCAGGAGGGACATGTCCAAGCACCAAGGTTGCTGGGCTCAGGTGGGGACAGCCATGGGCAGGCAGGCTGGCCACACCTCAGCTGTGCCCATGTGGACCCAGCAGGAAAGGGGGTGGTGGAGGGGAGGCTGTGCGAGATGTCCCCCTCCCTCAGGCAAATGGTGGGATGCCCAGAGGCTGTGGCCACAGGTGACTAGTCATAGGTGGCAGCAGAGAGCAGGCAAAGGGTCTGAGGGGGCAGTGTCCTGGAAGGCCCTCTGGGGTCCTAGGAGTAGGGCAGACTGAGAGTCTGGGCCTGAGACATTCGGGGAGCTGGGCCCTTGTGGTCTTGAGCTCCCAGAAGGAGTCTTAGGGACCTGGAGCACTGCCAAGGGGAGGACCCCCGGAGGAGGGGCCAGGGAGAGGAGCCCTGGAAAAGATGGGGTGTCCCAGGGACAGGTGTGAGAAAGGTCCTAGGTAGAGGGGGAGCAGGTGGGCTGAGGGCCAAGGAGAGGCTGAGAGCTGGTTGTCGGTGCCCACAGGGGCAGACTCGTGGGCAGGCTGCAGAGACCCGCAGACTTCCACACCAGGGCTCCGTGCAAAGCCCAGTGGTGGGGCCTAGTGTGGGCGAGGGTGGGGGCTGGGGGCTGGTGCCGTGCAAAGGCCCTGGCTCAGGRGCCAGGCTAGGGACAGGCTCACGGGGCTGCAGAGTGGTCCCTGCCACTGCCCACCCCTTCCTGTCCCCATGGGACCTTCCCTGAGGGCAGGCCCTCTGAGCCTAGCTGGAGAGCAGCTCTTCCTACAGAGGACAGATCCTGGGAGATGGCCACCCCTGTGTGCAGGAGGGCCGAGGGCCGGGAGCCTCCCCCTGGCAGGCAGCACTCCAGGCCTCTCAGCCCGCTTCCCGCTGGGCTGTTTAGGATCAACCAGCCACTGYTCCTGGCTGAGTCTGCCCCACAGTAGGACACAGCTTGGCCTCCCCATGGCTTGGTGACTCCCCAGGACAGCCCTGGGCCCTGCCTGCCCACCACCTTCCCACCATCCATCACCCTCAGGAGCCCTCCCCAGCCCCACTTTGATCCCTTGGGAAGCCGAGCACTCACTTTCCGTCCACAGTCTCACCAGGGACACCTCTGTGTCCGCCTTCAGCTAGCCCTCTCAGGGCTAGCTCTGGTCACACAGCCCAACACCTCCACTCCTCCTCTGGTCCTCCCCAGCCCCTGTCCTCTGTCCCTGGCTATCAGCGGCTAGCACCTCCCCAGGGCAGGTCCTCAGGCTCCAACATGGCCCTGTACTCTGTGGCCCAGAACTCCAGGGTTTGTGGTGCCCCAGTCTGTCAAAGCCTGGCCACAGTGGACAGAGCCCCTGCCCTGCCCAACACCTCCTGCCCTGCAGGTCCAGATGCTCACAGCAGCCAACACCCCTCCACGAGCCTGGTTCTGCCCCATCCTACGCAGCACCCTGTCCCTCTCAGCTCCGTGTGTCCTGCTGCCCACCATGCTGGTCTTCCGAATGGTCTTTGAGCACTCCAGCTCTGCACACACCAAGCCTCCACCCAGAGCCCCTCTCTGGTGCTCACTGCCTCCGCAGGGCCCCTGTGGTGGCCGCTGTCAGAACAGCTGTCTTCAGGAGCCCCCACACTATATCCGCCCACCCCTACCCTGTTACTTCCTCTCCCCTAGAGCGTGCTGATCTGCTGACCGGGGCTGGGCTGGTTTATCGTTGACCAGAGCCAAACATTGGAGGAGGGGTCCCTCATAGATGCGGCTTCCGGCCTTAACTGGTGCATGACTGGGTGGGACGGCCACTGACTGGGGGGCTTAAGCCACAGAAGTGAGTTTTCTCATAGTTTTAGAGGCTGTGTACATGATCAGGATTGGGCAGGCTGGTTCCTGAGGCCCTGCCGGATCACAGGCGCCAGGGCCACGTGGCCATCCCTCTGTGTGTCTGTCCTGATCTCTCTGCAGGGTGCTAGTCCTCCTGGATTAGGGCCTACCATGTGACCCGTTTCAACCTTTGTGACCTTGTCTCCAAAGAGAGTCCCCTGCTGCCTTGTGGGGGTCAGGGCTCCACATGTAAATTTGGGGGAAACAAAACTTAGTCCAGAGTAAGTGCTTTCCCTTGCCGGACCCTGCTGAGACCAGAGACTTCAGTGCTCCCATGTGCACTCAGTTGATCAGGGAGCCCCGCTCCCTTGAAGCACCCACTGGAACTCAGGGCAGAGGGTAGAGGACACCCAGACACCTGCCCCCACCAACAGCGGGGCTCCTGGAGAAGCTGCCTCACTGGCCTGGGCCCTGAGCCTGCCCCTTCTAGGCCTGGCCCCTCCCCATCGGGGCTTTTCCCTGGACCCCCACTGGGCTCTGGGTCCAGGGAGCCTTCAGGCTGCTCCTAGGTGGGAAGATCCCTCCTCAGTCCCTGTTGCCAGGTGTGTTGACCCCCTGTGAGCAGAGGGAGGGCTCCGGGGAGGCCCGTGCAGCTCCAGAGCAGTAGGCTTGGGTGGCTGACAGGCGCTGGGTGGGGCCAAGGTCGCTAGTTGCTGGGACAGGTCCTGCTGGGCCATCTTGGGCTTAGGTGTTCTGGATGGGAATCCAGATTCCCTTCCCTGCCTCTTCCTCCCTCCCTCCCCATGCAGCCCCGCTGGTGGGGTCAGCCTAGATGGCCCACCTCAACGTCACCAGGCTCCAGTCCTCAGCCAGCTCTGCCTGGGCCCAAACAGCCCCTGTCCCTTTGCTCACAGGCCCTTGTCCCTCCTACGGGACCTGGGCTCCTTTACCTGTTTGCTTGGCAGGCCAGGGGACATTATGTGGGTAGGGCCTGCCCTGGACACTCAGGACCAGGCTCTCGGGCAGAGCACAGGGGCCCTGTGGGCAGTGGGCAGCAGACCTCTATCCAGGTTATAGCCAGGAGGAGGAGGAGGCAGCCGGGCAGGGCCGGCTGAGGAGAGGAGCCTAAGGAGCCACACACGGAGGGGACCCAGCTGGGCAGCACCCACTCCTGGTCCTCCTATGACCAGTCACAGCTGGCCTCCTGCAGACCCTGGTGCAGCCTGGCCCCAGCTCAAGACTTTGGGCTGTGCTGGAGCCAGTGAGAGGGACCCCAGGCATCGCAACACAGAATCTGTTGGCACTCCTGGTCACTCGGAGCCTTCGGACCAGTTAAGTCTGGGCTCCCCTGTACGGTGTGGAGCTGTCAACCCACAGCCACTTCAGCCAGGACCTTGGCCCTCCCAGGGGAGGGTCCAGTCTCCACCTTGCCAGGACAAGAGAGCAGAAGGCTGTAGGGCTGGCGCACCAGGAGGGAGCCTGCCCACCAGAGGGTACAGCCCAGGCCACGGCAGGGGTGCTGACAGCTGGGCAGCCTGGCTCCCCGCTCCTCCTCTGGGAGGCCTTGGGAAGGCAGCAGACTGCTCTGAACCTTGGTTTCCTTTTCGGGAAAGTGGTTGCTTTGAAGTTTAAAAGAGGCTCCCCTGAAGTCCTTTCTGGGGAGACTGAGACCCCCTGCACCCCACACTGCCCAGTCCACATGAAGGTAGAGTTCCACTCCCTCCAGCCTTTGCCCCTGAGCTCCTGTCCAGTATGGGCCACACAACTTGGTGGCAGCTCCCACTGGCCAGTCTGGGAAAACCCTGGCCAGGCTGCCCAGGTTGGCCCTGTGCAGGGACTCCTTGACCCCCAAGAAGCCGTCGACCCCCAGTCCCAGCCGGCCCAGTCAAGGAAGCCAAGGGGCAGTGCTGGCCGGCCAAGCCCCAGGTCTCTGGGTGGCAGGGAGTGGAAGAGGAGTCGGACACCTGGCAGCAAGCCCCGCAGGCCCCTGCACCACCCTGGGGCCGGCTGCTGCTGCTGCCCTCAGCTTCCTGGGGTGAAGTGCTTCTGACAGGGCTGTTCCTGGTGCTGCTGGGCCTGGGCATGCTTAGCGCTGGGCAGGGCACAGCAGTGGCTCCCAGGTGTGTGTCTGCTGAAGACAGGCCACACTGTCCTTGTGGTTGGCACCCAATGGGCCCAGCGCAGGGGGTTGCATGTTCCGGCCTCCCAGGTGGGCTGTGCTGCTTCCTGGTACAGAGGTGAGCGGACCGAGGTGGCCTGGCTGTCACCCTGCCCCACCCTGCATGCTGGGCCGCCTGCCCTGGCACCTGGCCGTGTGCTGGGGCTCTGCAGGCAGGGTGCGTGGCATGGGCATGCCCCACCGCCCCCGGACCTTACCTGGAGCCCAGCCCTCTGTCCACCTGCCTTCTGCGCTGATGAGTCTGCTGTGTCCCCAGGCCCCACGTGGAGGATTTCAGCCTGGAGTCCTCCCTCTCTCAGTAAGTGCTTTGTAGGGGAGGGGGCTTTTGGGGACAGAAGTGTCCTCACACCCTGGCAGACCAGTCCCCACGGGAGAATACACTCTGCCAGGCCCCTGGCCCTGCAGCTGGGCAGGGCCATGTCTAGCCAGCACAGGGGTGGGGGTGGTCCCTTGCTGAGGAGGCCAGGCTCTCAGGGGCACCCTGGTGCCAGGATGGGACCTGCCAGGATGGGACCTGCCACGGTGCCCTACAGGGCAGGCGTGAGGATGACCCCGTGCCTGGTCTTAGCCCCCTTAGCTGCCAGTGCAGGTCGAGGTCCCCAGGAGCCAGGTGGCTTGCAGAAGGGGTGCCCTTCCTGCCACAGCCCAGGCTGGAGCCAGGGGCTCGGYGGCTGCACTTGTGGCTCCAGCTCAGGCTGAGGTCCCATGGTAGGAGATCCCAAGGTAGGAGTCAGCGCAGCCCCTGGGAAAGCCATCCCTCCCSGACCCGGTCTGCCTCCCAGTGGGGCCTGTCATTAACAGTTCCATTAACCAGCGTCACTGGCAGCAGTAACCACCTGCTGCTGTGGCTCTCGCCTGGTACCTCCCACAGGGTTGAGGGCTACAGCTTTGACCCTGGCCTGTCCCCCAGCCTTGCAGCCTTGCACCCCGTGCACCAACCACAGATAACAGGCGTGAGATGGAGGCTGGCCTGCTGCCCCGGGCTCTCCCACGCCCCCGCAGGCTGGTGGAGGCCTTGGGAGCTGGGCCTCAGCCCTGTGGGGTATGACCCTGTGCAGCTGCCCGAGGCTGTGGTCCACACCACTGCCCAGCTGGCCTTGGTCAGAGCAGTGTCCGTAGGCCCTGGGAGGCCCAAGGCCAGAACAAAGACCCTGCAGACTCCAGGGCAGCAGACTGGTTGGAGGAACGGGCCAGGTCATCTGTTAGTTTAGGAAGCCCCCACCACCCTCCCTGGCCATTTTGGACTCTCCTCCAACCCCAACCCTGTTTCCCAGCTTGGGCTTGCAGGGCCCAGGCCAGGGTAGGCAGGGGCCCCTCTGAGCACTGAGGAAGGATGACCCTGAGGCCCCCCACCCCGCCTCAGGCTCTGTGGGGCTGGGGTGTGACAGGGCCCAGCAGTGAACTAACCTGGGACAGCAGGCGGACCTGTGGAGCTAGCCTGGGACCGTGGGTGAGGAATAGGGGAGCTTAGGTGCCTACCCCATCCTGCTGGCCAGACCCAGAGTTGCCGGGAGTTTCCAGGAGGGGTGGGCGGCCTGTCACAGTCAGGGCTGCTGCTGAGGCCCCCACTGGTATCAGGCATGGGGGCACCTGGGTGTCTCTTCCCACCCTGGCCAGCCCTCTGTGCTGCTGTGGGGCACTGAGCAGGACAAGCCTGACCCCAGGCAGCCTGCCTGCCAGCTCCCACACAGCTGTCCACTCCACAGGGCCAGGGCCACACTGCCCTCCCCAGGGCTGGGCTGGCGGTGTGCTGCTCTTCCAGGCTCAAGGCCAAGCTGGGCCTGGGTCCCACCCAGGTCAGTGGGCATGGTCAGTGCTATATGGAGCCAAGCCCACAAATGGGCAGCCTGGAGCCTGAGGAGTCTCAGATGGCGCTGGGTTTCCCAGCTGCCTATGTGGGCACTGTCAAGTGACCGCACAGGCCTGGGCGCACCCCCTTCTGGGCGCACCTCCCACTGGGAGCACCTCCCTCTGGGAGCACCCCCCTCTGGGCTCACCTCCCTCTGGGCTCACCCGCCTCTGGGCGCACCCCCCTCTCTGGGCGCACCCCCCTCTCTGGGTGCACCCCCCTCTGGGTGCACCCCCCCTGGGGTCACCCCCATCTGGACACACCCCTCTCACTGGGCGCACCCCCCTCTGGGCTCAGCCCCCTCTGGGCGCACCCCCCTCTGGGCGCACCCCCCTCTGGGAGCACCTCCCTCTGGGAGCACCTCCCCTGGGTGCACCTCCCTCTGGGCACACCTCCAGAAGAAGCGGGGACACGCGCAGGGGCTGATTTTCACTTCACTGACACGGCACCTTGGCTGCCAGGCGCCCCCGCACAGTGTGGGAGGCAGTTCCTGCCATTGTTCCCACTCCCTGGGGAGGAGGAGAGGAAGCCAGGAGGGCAGGTGAGGAGTGGCCAGGTCTGGCTTTCCAGCATCCTGGGCCCCCTACTGCAGGCTGTGACCCCAGGAACTCAGAACAAGACAGCGAGTGCCCGTTGCAGGAGGAGGTGGCCCACAACCTCAGCCAGGCTCCCTCCCCAGGGCTGCCCCTGGCCCTTGGAGGGTCATCAGGGCCCCTGCACGGTCAGCATGCTTTGGGGAAGAAGACAGTTTGGTCTACTGTTTGTGGTGGGGTCAGGAGTGGCGGCCACAGCTCATCACAAATCAAAAGCCAAGCATCATTAACTTCTCTGGCATTGCGGGGCTCCAATTCTGCTGCCAGGTCCCGCGGGTTTCTCTGGCTCCTCATGGAGAACCCCTTTCCCCCATAGGTGGGTGCTGCCCACCCAGGGTCCTGGGGGCTGCCTAGACGGATGTCCACAGCTGACCGGGCACTCACCCCCTGAGTGGTGGCCCTGTGTTCTATTCATGGGGTGTTGGAACCAGAGGCCAGGGTGTGACCAGCTGTGGTCAGCAGGCCTGACCCCCCGCCCCCGGGTGCCCCAGCAGGGACACTGCTGCCTGGAAGCCACAGGCAGGCCAGCAGGAGCACGGGTGGGCTTCTCCATTCCCTGACTGTGGGGAGGAGCAGTGGCTTCGTGGTCTTTGCAGGCAGCTGCGTTTGGGGAGCTCAGAGCCTGGGGGAGCCGAAGGCGGGAGCCGGAGCAGAGCCAGCCCCAGGGGCCAGGATGAGCCAGAGAGGCAGAGAAAGAGCCTGGAGGGCAGAAGACAGGGAGCCAGGAGTGGGGTGGGGGATGCCCAGAGCTTAGAGGACCCCTGAGCTGTGGTGGGCAAGGCGTCCACCCAAGGAGGGGAGGCTGGGTGGGCCTCTTGGGCCTGATGGTGGGAGGTCAGAGGTGAGCCTTAGGGAAGCAGGCAGGGCAGGTGGACAAGCAGTAATGTCCCATGAAATGGTGTCCAGCTGTCCAGTGAGACCAGGCAGAGGGCACAGGGTAGACCTGGAGCTGGGGGCTCTCAGCTGCACGGAGGGTGGGGGGGCAGCTTTGGAGGAGGTAGAAAGTACCTGGGTCCCGGCCCATCTGGGGGAGGGGAGGGGGTCATAACGAACAGGGTCAGGTCCACGTCGGGAGGGTGCAGTCGGTCTCTGTTGCCAGCAACGGACTGCAGACTGATGCATAGTAAAGGAAAGGGGCTTATTTGGCTCATGGTCTGCTCCAAGGTCCTGGGGCCACATCTAGTGATGGCTTCTTGCTGGCGGAGCCTGCAGTCAGAGCAGGGCCTGGCGCGGGTGCACCCACGTGTCTGTCTCCCGCTGTCTGCCTCTTCCTCCTATGAGGCCACCAGGACTCCCTCCTGGGCTCCAGGCTGCTGACAGCATCCCAGAGCCCACCTCTGAATACCATAGTGGGTTTCAGCCCCCGTCCTTTCACCTGTCTCAAACGCCTCTCAGGACGTGGGGGCAGCATGCCCGGGCCAGGCAGTGACCTCAGACTCTCCAGCTGCCTCCACAGAGCCCACACCCATGCAGAGGAGAGCTTTCGTGGCCCAGCCACCGGGAGAGGCCCCTGCCCGTGGTTGATGATGGGGAGTGGGGAGAGGTGGGCACAGGGACCTGGGCCTGCGCTGGCCTCGCCTCCACTGGGGCTGCTGGTGACCTCCTCCACGCAGCAGGACTCTGCCCGTGGGCCCTCTGCCCCGCTGCCCTCCCAGGTCATGACCCTGCTCTGTGCCGAGGTGGGGACTGTGTGCCCCACATACACCGTCATCCCACCCACACGCAGTCGCCCCACCTGACCCTGCTCTGGAGCAGGGAGGGACTCAGCCTGTGATGGAGGACGCCCAAGGTCATGCTGAGGGAGGACGGTGCCCAGCACCACAGGGGCATGGCCCTGGGGGACAGGCCATCCCCACCCCAGCTGCAGGAAGCCCGGCTCTAGCCCCTCTCGTCATCCTTGGAGTGACTGTTGGCGGTTCACCTCGGTGGGACATGGAGCCCCAATGGGGTGTGAACTCCAGCAGAGCTGGGCACAGAGAGCCGGGCAGTAGCTGTCGTCATCAGACTCCATGTTACTCCCAGAGACCAGATGGGGCCAGCAGTGGGTGGGCCATGTGCTGGCGCCCTCTGGCACCCTCAGGCCACTCCCACTGGCTCCACTGTGGTCTGTTCTCAGGACTGCAGAGAGCCCATGCTGGGCAGAGGGCTTGGAGAAGGGCCCGTAGGCAGTCATGTGTGTAAGTGACGGGGACCTGGGGACCAATGGCCAGGGGCTGCAGGGGAGCCCAAGGGAAAGGGCCTGTGCTAGGGGGTTCCGCTGCTGGCCTGCAGGGCAGCTCAGGATGACTGCTGCCTGTAGCCCTCCTGGCCCGACTGCCTGAGTTTCACGCTGCTTTGAGCGGTGGTCTTAGAACCCAGCCACCAGAGGCCACCAGACCATGAATGGCCTTCAGCTTTTGGGGACTCCGTATAGGTCCTGGGGTGTGTTTTGAGCTCTGTGTGCCCAAAGCCCAGTGGGTGCCATAGCCTGAGCCTCCTTGGGGCCCACAGGCCCTGGACGCTGAGCAGGCAGTGGCTTGTGGCCCTGTGTGCTGGGGGAGGCACGGGGAAGGTTGTGATAGGTGGCTTCCTGGGTCCAAGGTGGGCATGCCTCTCAGTCCTGCAGCTTGGGACGAGTCAGTGGGGCTTGGGGCTGCCTCCCCACCAGGCTCCCGCTGGCTGCCACCCGTCCCCTCTCCTGCCCCAGGGTCCAGGTGGAGTTCTACGTGAATGAGAACACATTCAAGGAGCGGCTCAAACTGTTCTTCATCAAAAACCAAAGATCCAGTGAGTGGGGGCTGGGCGCTCCCAGGCAGGAGGGGAGGGGCCCCAGAGGAAGCCAGTGTGGCGGGGGCTGTGTCGCTGAGCAGTGGGCGCCGGGGGCATTCCCTCCGCCTGAGAGTCGCACATCTCTTGGGAGCCGTGTGGGATTTGTGGGGACACTGCCCCATCTGCTGGACACCAGATGGGGCTGGGCTAGGCCTCCTCCATGCAGGCCCCTTCTCACTCCTTCCCAGCTTCAAGACTGGCCACCCTGGACCTCCCAGGGAGTCCRAGAGGGGCTCGGAGGTTATGTGTGTGGGCTCCAGGCCTACCCAGCCACGGAGGGGCAGCCTCAGGAAACCCCCTGGGCTCTGACTCCACTTCTGTGCAGTGGGCACCTGGTGCCTCCTGAAGGGGCCCGGGTGGGGCCTCCAGGGTGGAGCTATTGGAGGGGGCTGCGGGCCTGCCTGACGTCTGCCTCCCCCAGGCCTGAGGATCCGGCTGTTCAACTTCTCCCTGAAGCTCCTCACCTGCCTGCTCTACATCATCCGGGTCCTGCTGGACAACCCGGCCCTGGGCATCGGATGGTGGGTGTGACCCGTGGGGCTGGAGGAAGAAGGGGTCCTGGGCCCTGGGGGGACTGCACCCAGCACCCAGCCTGGCCTCTAGGAAGCCCCGTGCCCAGTCAAAGCCATGCCCAGTATGCTGCCCAAGCTCAGCGTAGCGAGAGGAACCCCCTGCTGGAGCTACCTGTGTGGCTGCACGTAGACCCAGAAGGTCCAGGGAGCCTGGAGGGTCCAGGTGCCCCCTGCATGAGAGGGGGTCTTCACACTCACTCAAGAGGGTCCCAGCCTCTGGGGGAGCCCCCTGCAGCAGGATGCAAACTGGCCAGGGCTTTGGCCCCTCTCTGAGGCTCCACCTGACCCTCTTGGCCCCCGGCGGCCTCTTCCTGGCTCACTCCTTCACCTCAGGGCCGGCGTATTCTGGCCATGTTGAGCAAGAGCCACCTGCAGACTGCAGGAGCCTTTCGAGGAATGGGGGGAACTTCTCTGGAGGTTTCTGTGTGGTCCTCCTCCTCCCCCCTGCTGCTGAGTCCCAGCCCTGATCCTTCCCTGGAAGCTGCTGGGTCTCTGCTTAGGGATGCTTGGGTCAGGCTCTTCTCATTTCTGGGTTGGCCCAGCAGCCCTCAGTGCCAGATTGTCTTGAATCATGTCCTTGGAGACCGCCTCCCCTTGGTCACTGGCTCTGGGTCCTCTCAGGCTCCTCAGTGTAGGCGTCCCTAACTGCGGGGGTCTTGGAAGCTGAGCCGGGAAGGAGCTGGCCCTGGAGGCTGTCTGTGTACAGACCTGCTCTTCACCTTCCTTTTCATCTGCCACCCACTATTCAATAGGAGTTGGCATCCCCAGGCCAGAGACCCTCACCCATAGCTGAGAACACACCCCTGTGGTTGTCCGGGTCAGGGGAGGGCAGAGCCCACCACAGCAGTTGAGGAAGAGCAACGGGGGTTCTGACTGACTCTCAACCACCTTTCTGGGCCCATCTCACCTTCCCCAAGTCCTGGAAGCTCCTGGGCCTCTGGTCCCCTTCCCCAGAGGGCCCAGTGTGTGGTGTTCATCACCCATCCCTAGCACAGTGCCTGGCACGTGGGTGGAGGTGGGAGGAGGGTGAGAGGGTGGTGGGCAGGCAGACAGACGGTTGAGGAGGTCACGGGTTGAGGTCTGGATGGATGGGCAGATGATGGCGGGGTAGATGGCTGGATAGATGGAAGGTGGGTGGGTGGACAGAGGTAAGAGGGTGGCTGGGGCAGACGCACGGGTGGATCCCAGGTGAGAACGTGAGTGGGTGGATAAAGGGATGGATGGTGACGAGAGACAGGCGGGCAGATGTTGGGAGAGAGGGCCGGAGTAGGGGAGTGGTGGACCATGGATGGCCTGGAGTCTGCACCAACCCTGGGGAGTTTCTGGAGGGAAGTAGGTCAGGAAAGAGGCGGGGGTCCCCTCTCATAGGCTCAGAAGCAGCCAACGGGCCTGCAAGCTGTGCCCTGTCTGCCAGCTGGGCCCTGCCACCCGCCAGCCAGCTGATCCCAGGTGGCTTGGACACACTTGTCCTCCAGAGTGGCTTAGGGCCCTGCACTGCTGAGCCAGCCCCTTGGGGCAGGAGCCTGGTCCCCACTGAGCCTCATCCAGGCTTGTTTGAGGTGGCTTGGCCTCAGGAGGCCTGGAGGGCCCCTGGTTCTGCCTCTGGCTGTGTGGGACCTTCCAGGGAGTGTGTGACCATGCAGAGTCCCTGGCTCTCTCCTGCCAGAGTCTCACTGTCAGCCCAGATCCCAGGTGAGGCTGTGGTCTGTCAAGCAGAGCCCACACGTCATCCCTGCAGGGTCTCTGCCAAAATTCTAGAGCTCTGGCACCCCTCGGTACCTGGGGCCGGGTCCCCTTCCCATGTACCCTGAGCCCATGGCAGCCCAAGGAGGGCCTTGGGGTTGGCCGGAGGGCCCGTGGCCAGGCCAGCTCTCTGTCTGTCCGCAGCTGGGGCTGTGTGAAGCAGAAGTACACCTTCAATGGCTCCTCCTCCGAGATCAACTGGTGAGTTCCTGCTGCTCCTGTTTGCCAGGGTCAGGGGACATGGGGTGGACGTGGTGAGTGTGGATGGAGTTCACACTGCCTAGCCTCTGAGGGCAATGGCCAGCCTCAGCCTGAATGCTGCCCAGGGTCCCTGTAGACACATCCAGCTGCCCTCTCAACCCTGGCTGGGATCAGTGCTGGGGATGTCCCCTTCAGAGGGGGACAACKGGGTCCCCCAGCTAGTCTCTGCCTCTGGCTGTGGGGCCCCCACTGCCTCTGAGATGTTCTCCTGAGCCTGTCTGGGCTGGGCCCAGGGGCAAGGGGGACACTGATGGYTGTGGCCCCTGTGTGCTGCACCCTGCCCAAGGCTCATCTCCCTTCTCTCCCCAGGGCCCCAATCCTGTGGGTGGAGAGGAAGATGGCTCTGTGGGCGATTCAGGTGAGAGTGCCCCACCTGCTCCTCTCCCCACAGCAGAGGGCAGCCGTGACAGGAGCCGGGCTCGGGGGCACTTAGGACACACCCAGGCCCAGTGGGCAGGGGACCCAGGCCTGATGGGCTCCAGGATGGAGCTGGGCTAGGGGGGCACTTAGGACACACCCAGGGACTGCTGGGGTGCACCCCCCTCCATTTCTTGTTGGAACCTCTCCCTCCTGCTACCCCTCAAGCTTGCTGTCTCCCTAGGGGATGCAAGGGAGGGTAGGTGGCCCAGGCCAGCTCTTGGGGGTCTCCCCAGCCCTGCCACTGCTCAGGTCTCTGGGTGGTGGCACTGGCTCATGACTGGATGTTTGGCCTCCCCCAGAGAGGGCCTCAGAGAGGCTGTGTCTGGAAGAGGCTCCACCCAGCCCAGCCCCTCCCTGGCAGACTGCCAGCAAGCCCTGCCCTGTCCCACCAACTCAGAGCCCCCGACGTGGCCCTCATGGCCCACCTCCACCTCCTGGGGCAGCAGCATGACCGCTCTCCATGGTCCCTGCCCCTTAGGCTGCCCCCTGGTCAGGAACCTGTCCAAAGACCACAGCCTGGTGCACACGTACACACAAAGGGTGCTCRCCCAGAGACCCACGTGGCCTGGCCCTGCCTCAGACCCCAGACCCAGGTCTGCTCCTTGTCCCTCTCTCCTCTTAGGTCATCGTGGCCACAATAAGCTTCCTGGAGACCATGCTCCTCATCTACCTCAGCTACAAAGTAGGTCCCCACCATCCTGCCTCCTCCTCACTCCTGCCCCCAGCACCACTCTCTGACCTCCCAGGCTGCCCTTGCACCGTCCCTGTCCTCTGTCCTACCTGCACCAGCTCTGAAGCCCCCTTTGACCCCCAGGGCAACATCTGGGAGCAGATCATCCGAGTGTCCTTCATCCTAGAGATGGTCAACACACTGCCCTTCATCATCACGGTGGGTGAGCCCCAATCCCACCCCTCACCCAGTGATCCCAGCCCCCACCCACCTCCCCCAGGGGCCTCCAGTCCTGCCCCCCCCCAGGGACCTCCAGTCCTGCCCCCCCAAGGGCCTCCAGTCCTGCCCTCCCCCAGGGGCCTCCAGTCCTGCCCTC